ACATGCTACCAATGACCTAAGGACCTACAACTAGGCCCCATCTCTTCATAGTCCACCACCTCCCCCAATGCCAGGCTAGGAACCAAGCCAAAAGACCAAACTATACTCCTGCAATATCTGTGCAGTTTAGATGCAAGAAGTAACTTATTCTTCTCCTAGAGTCAGCAGGAGCATTCAGAACAGAGACAGAAAGAAAATGCCAACAATCTGTAAATCAAGAAACAACTCCCACTAATGAGTATATATTGTCATGTTTTTCAGAGCTTGCTTAACAAAGCAAATGTCCAAAGAAGTAAAACTGATAGGGACCTTGTTATATAATCTGTAGTTTTCAAAACAAATCCAGAATTCTCTGAAATTAGCAACAAGTGACTTGGTACAATGCAGCAGCTATTTAAGATCAAACTAGCATGAAGCAAGAACAACTTGGGAGGACGTTGAAATCAGTGAACCTGAGTGAGGACAAAGAACAAAGCTGGACCAGGCGCCGATGGTCTCACCTGTCATCCTAGCTACTCAGGGGGCTGAGATCTGAGGATCACGGTTCAAAGCCAGCCTGGGCAGGAAAGTCTCTGAAACTCTTATCTCCAATAAACCGCCAGAAAACGGGAAGTAACACTGTAGCTCAAGTGGTAGAGCTCTAGCCTTGAGCTGAAGAACTGAGGGACAGTGTTCAGGCCCAGAATTCAAGCCCCATGACCGACCAAAAAAAACAAAAAACAAAGCTGGGCACCAGTGGCTCATGCCCATAATCCTAGCTACTCTGGAGGCTGAGATTTGAGGGTCATGGTTCAAAGCCAGCCCTGGCAGGAAATCTGTGAGACTCTAATCTCCAATTAACCATCAGAAAACCAGAAGTGGCACTGTGGCTCAAAGTGTAGAGTGTAGCCTTGAGCAAAAAAGCTTAGGGACAGCACCTAGGCCTGAGATCAAGGTCACTCACCCCAAAATAAAAAGGAACAAAGACCAGAAAGAAACAGTGAACTCATTGACAGTGGGACAGTGAGACTGACAGTCAGAAATGAATCCCCAGACACTTACTCTACTCTCTGTCGGGGGGGGGGTGGGGGGGGGGGGGAGATAACTATAGTAGGGCCAGGTGCTGGTGGCTCATGCCTAGATACTCAGGAGGCTGAGATTTGAGAACTGAGGTGCAAAGCCAGCTGGAGCAGAAAAGTCTGTGAGACTCTTATCTCCAATTAACCATCAGAAAACACGTAGTGGCACTGTGGTTCAAAGTGGAAGAGCACCACCCTTGAGCAAGAAAGCTCAGGGACAGAGACCAGGCCCTGAGTTCAAACACCACAACCTACAAAACAAAACTATAGTAAGTTCTAAGAAAGAAGCAGACTAGAGAGGTCAGTCAGGAGAAGAAAGGTGGATAGATAGCAGGTAGCCATAGACAGGGAAGATATACAAAACCAAAAAAAAATGAGGTCTCCAGTTCTGAAAGGGAAAAGGGTTAGCAGAGAGATATGAGGTGACCACGGGAAGAAGAGAGGGAAAGCATTATATGGTAAAAATTCCTGACTCAAGGATGGGAATTTCTCAGGGGCAATCTCAATAAGTATTCAAATCCCAAAAGCTAATGCAGTAATTCTCACTGTAAAGACCCATCCACTTTCAGTCTATTGAAAGTCTATTTGTAATAGATACTTATACTGTTTTTGCTGAAAAGGACTGATTCCTTATATAGATAGACACACAAACTAAAAGCAGGAGAAAAGCTTGGTATCCCTGCCTCCATTTTGCCCTAAGCCATTCTCACTACAGTTACTTTGCAATCACCTGGAGTTCCAAGACAGACAAGACTGATAGATATCTTAATGACCAGGACTGAAACTACTCCTAAGGAACAGTAGAGACTTGTAGAACAGACCACCCCCAAATGAGGAACAATTGCCTATAATCAAGAAGCTGTGTCCTGGAGCAGGAGGAATTTCATAGGAACCATACTGCTCCCCTTAGGTGATGGGAGTGATAATACCTTCTCTGAAATCCTGGAAAACCATAATTGGGATAATGACCAACTGGGATGACCCCAGTTACTGCCACACCTGTAACTGGGACTTTTAAGTGATGCATACTTTTCTTCCCTTTCTTCCAGTTTTTATTTAAATCTATGGGTTCAAGTGGGATGGGGAATAGTGAGGGGAGAGGGTGAGAGTGCTACAGGGAAAGAATGGGAAAGAATGGGTTGGGCGCTGGTGGCTCACGCCTGTAATCCTAAATACTCAGGAGGCTGAGATCTGCGGATCGAGGTTCAAAGCCAGCCCGGGCAGGAAAGTCTGTGAAACTCCTATCTCCAATTAACCACTAGAAAACCAGAAGTGGCACTGTGGGTCAAAATGGTAGAGCACTTGCCTTGAGCTGAAGAGCTCAGGGACAGTATCCAGGCACAGAGTTCAAGTTCTACAACAGACAAAAATAAACTGAATGGTAAAACTGGCTCCCTCTCCTGGTCATGGCTTAGGAGACCCACATGAGTTTCATCTCTTCCCTAGTAGCTCCCATAGCCACACCTAGGGAGTAATTAGTGGTCAGTTTTCAGTCAGGACTTCTCCCTTGGGGGTGGAAAAACTTCTGGCCTGGCCTAACCAAACTGTACCTGCACAGTGGAACCCCTGATGTACCCTTAACCTGACCGTTTCAAAAGGAAATCCCATGTAAGACTTCAGGCACGTGCATTGCATAGCATACACATACTTAAAACTATGGGATGGCAACCTTGTACATTTGTACATTTGAAGACATTTTCCAAAATTCTGTCGTCACAATCCCTGATTTCCCTAAGATCATCTCATTGTCATTATTGTGAACGCCTCCCACACTCTCCAAACTCTAGAACATGGAAACTTTCTTTTTTTTGGTGTGTGTGGGGGGACTTTCTTAACTATGTGTTTGTTCTAGCTCAGGCCCACTGTTTGCCTCAATGATGTACTTTCTGTATTAAACTCCTTGTTTTAGCCCGGCATGGGTGGCTCACACCTACAATCTTAGCTACTCAGGAGGCTGAGATCTGAGGATTGTGGTTGGAAGTCAGCCCCAAAAGGAAAGTCCATGATACTCTTGTCTTCAGTTAACCACCAAAAAGCCAGAAGTGGAACTGTGGTACAAGTGGTAGAGCACTAGTCTTGAACAAAAAAGCTCAGGACAGTGCCCACAGCCTAAATTCCCAGGACTGGCACAAACAAAATAAAAAAACCCCAAACTCCTCGTTTGCCACTTTACTCATGTGTGCACCTTCATTCAGTTCTTTGTTGGACATTCCAAGGATCTGGGATCTTTTATTTTTTTTTGTCGGCCGTGGGCTTGAACTCTGGGCCTGGGCACTGTCCCTCAGCTCTTCAGCTCAAGGCTAGCGCTCTACCACTTGAGCTACAGCGCCACTTCCGGTTTTCTGGTGGTTTATTGGAGATAGGAGTCTCACGGTCTCTCCTGCCCGGGCTGGCTTTGAACCGCGATCCTCAGATCTCAGCCTCCTGAGTAGCTAGGATTACAGGCGTGAGCCACCAGTGTCCAGCTAGGATCTGGGATCTTTACCCCTGCGACCACCTGCCAGTAATGTGAATATAGTCAAAATACTTTATATATGTGTGTTTAAATTGATGGAGTTTGCTGAGATGGGTTTGGGGAAGGGGAGGGACACAAGGGAAAGTGACAGAGAGGGTCTGATCAAGGTATATTGTGTGCATATATGGACATATTAGAATGAACCCCCTGTTAATTAATGCTAACAAAATGTGGGGGAAAAGAGTAAAAAATCCCTACTACATGTCTATACCTCAAAGCAGTTGGAATGTTATCGTCCCCTGGCATATCCATGCCATGTAGTAAATCTCCTTTCTCTGCCTTTATCATGTCTTTATTTGGCATACGGGGGTGAATGGTCAGATCTGATATTCTACTTTCTGAATTACTCTCTCACCAGATGCAAGGTGGCAGCAGATAGCTGTGCTTACTTGACTCTCCAGTAATGAGATGACTTTGAAACCAGAGTTTGGAGTCATGGAACTGATGGTTCACTTGGTTGTGAAGCTAGAGGAAAGAGCCATGAGTCAAAGCATGTGGCATCTCTCTGGAAGCTGGAAGAGAGATAAGGCAAGACAAACATCCCATGAGCTCCCAGAGGAACTCAGTCCCACTAACAGTGATTTTAGCCAATGAAGACCTTTGTCAGACTTCTGACTTCCAGAACTACAAAGGAGCAATGATGTGTGTGGTAATAGAGAAGAGGGATATGGCAAAGTCCTTCCCTTTTCCAGCTCTACTCTGAAGTTGGGATTCATTGAGATCACATTCAAATCTCCTCCAGAACATCTGAATTACATACCTTGACCCCTGCATACACTGATACCTGGACTCTTCTCTGGTGTCTGAGCACCAGTAAGATTCTATTTTGCAGTCAAGTTCTAGTGTATTCTTTATTCCTATATCCTAGGGAATTGGGGCTTCTGTACCCAGTTCCTGGTACAGAGAGAGTGAGGAGTGCCTTACCTCTGTACCTTTCCTGTAGGCAGGGCTGTACAAGACGATGGAGTCACATTGCATGGGTGGCTTTAACCTGGGGGAGGGAGGAGGATGCCACAGTCGGACAGTGGTGGTGAGTGCGTGTGGGTCACTGAATGGCTGCCCAGTGGGTGACAGAGTGGTGACCGAGATTGCTTGATTTAGCCATTGCAAGGGAGAAAGGAGCCAGAAAATGGCCGCCACCAAGATGGCAGCTGCCGGGGGCTGGGACGGAGTACTACCTGTCGTTTAGGCTGCACTGCTTGTAACCCCGTAACCTCAGAGGGAAAGCAGGAAGCGGGGAGGGCGGGAGGGCAGGCGGGCCGAGGCCGCCGGCGAGGCTGGCCGCGGGGTCACTAGGAGAAGATCGCCCGCCCAACGCCGTCTCAGAGGTGGGCGGAGCCGGTCTCGGGGGCGGGACATGCGCAGGCTGGCCAATGACGCGTGAGGGGCGGGCCGCGCCAACCTGCGGTGAAAGAGTCAGAGTTCAAGAGCTGGAGCCGGCCCCCAGAGCCTGGGAGCTGGGACCTCTCAACCTGCACAGGATGCTGGCTTTCTCCGTGAGTCCCCAGAGCGGCTCTTGGACCGAGACTTTCTCCCTGCTCTTGCTTCTTGGCGTTGGCCTCTACTTGGGCTACTACTGGGCATGTGTGCCCCAGGTGGGTGTGGGCCCCAGTGCTCTGGCCCTTGGGTTTGAGGTGCTTGGGTGTGGGAGACAGCCCCCAGACAGGGCTCAAGTTCTTTTTGGAAGCTTGGGTGGTTGTGCACCCCTTTCCCTATTATCACCTAATGGAGATAGGGTTCTTTGCCTCCCTCTTTCCTCTACATTGCTCTCTGACAGCTGGGCCAACTGGGTGCTGCCCCCTATAATGTGGACTGACATTTGGAGTCAGGCTAGGGTCAGAGAGATGCATGCTGTTTAAATGGTCTAAGTTTCTCTTTAGCTGCACTGAGTAGTGGAACCTCAGGCTTGTGGGGTTGAAACACCACCTCCATCAATTTTACAGGGCCATCAATTTACCAGCCCTAAGGGTAGGCTGGGGTTCCCGCCTAGCTCAGAGGAATAAACTTGTTCTTGTGCATCCAGCCTTGTCTTAAGGTCTGTACATGTACTCTACATGAGACCGAGTGACTGATCTTGGTTTTGATCAGTTTGAAGATTTTTCTCACTGAATTTAGATTAAAATATATGTAGAATACATGGTCTACATATTAAGGGAAAGCTTTTTTTCTTTTTTCTTTTTCTTTTTTTTGGTCCTGAGGCTTGAACTCAGGGCCTGGGCACTGTCCCTGAGCTTCTTTGGCTCAAAGCTAGCGATTTACCACTTTGAGCACAGTTCCACCTCTGGTTTTCTGGTGAATACTGGAGATGAGTGTCATGGATTTCCCTGCCCGGGCTGGCTTTGAACTGTGATCCTTGCATCTCAGCCTTCTGAGCAGCTAGGATTACAGGCATGAGCCATCCAGTGCCAGGCTGAAAGCGAAATCATTTGATCTTTAGTAATATCTGTTGTTGAAAATTGAGTCTAGCAAGCCTATTAAAAAGCACCTTAGAAGCCTGGCACTGTGTCACCTGCAATTGTAGTTCTAGCTACTTGAGAGACTGAGGCAGCAGAAGAATGGCTTGAGCCCAGGAATTATGAGCTGGCTTGGGCACTATTTTGTGTGTGTGTGTGTGTGTGTGTGTGTGTGTATGCGTGTGCGTGTGCATATGTGCATGTGTACAAGTGTGCATGCCAGTACTGGAGCTTGAACTCAGGACTTCTCACTCAAGGCTGGTACTCTGTCACTTCAGCCATACCTTCTAAGATAACTGTCTTTTAAAAATAAATGGTTTAGGGGCTGGGAAGGTGACTCAGTGGTAGAGTGCTTGCCTTGCATGCATGAGGCCCTGGGTTCGATTCCTCAGTACCACATAAGCAGAAAAAGCCAGAAGTAGCACTGTGGCTCAAGTAGTAGAGTGCTAGCCTTGAGCTGAAGAGCTGAGGGACAGCACCCAGGCCCAGAGTTTAGGCCCCAGGCCAGACAAAACATAAATAAATGGTTTAGCTGGGCACTGGTGGCTCACACCTATAATTCTAGCTACTCAGGAGGCTGAGGATCAGAGTTCAAAGCCAGTGCAGACAAGAAAGTCTGTGAGACTCTTTTCTCCAATTATCCACCAAAAAAGCTAGAGGTGGAGTTGTGGCTCAAGTGATAGAGTGCTAGCTTTAAGCAAAAAAAAGCTCACGGACAGCTCCCTGGCCCTGAGTTCAAGCCCCAGGACTGGAACTCACACACAAAATAGTTTGGGCATAGCTCAGTGGTAAAGCTTGATGTTTTTGTTTTGGTATTATTGGGAATTGAACTCAAGACTGCATACTTCACAGGGCAGGTATTCTACCACTTGAGCCATGCTCCCAGCCCTGAGCATGTATTTAGCATGCAAAAAGCCCTGGGTTCGGGGCTGGGAAGGTGGCTCAGTGGTAGAGCGCTTGCCTTGCAGCATGAGGTCCTGGGTTCGATTCCTCAGCACCACATATGCAAAAAGAAAAAAGCCAGAAGTGGCGCTGTAGCTCAGGTGGTAGAGCGCTAGCCTTGAGCTGAAGAGCTGAAGGACAGTGCCCAGGCCCAGAGTTCAGGCCCCACGACTGGACCCAAAAAAAAAAAAAAAGCCCTGGGTTTAATTTTGAACACCATAAATATTTGTTAAAAATTATATTTAAGTAGTTGTACAAAGGGATTACCATTCACCATGTTAAAATTAAAACATTAAAGACCTATGGGAGATTTTATATTACTTAGACTTTAAAAAATATTTTCAGGGGCTGGGAAGGTGGCTCAGTGGTAGAGCGCTTGCCTTGCATGCTTGAGGCCCTGGGTTTGATTCCTCAGCACCAAATAAGCAGAAAAAGCCAGAAGTGGCGCTGAAGCTTAAGTGGTAGAGTGCTAGCCTTCAGCTGAAGAGCTGAGGGACAGTGCCCAGGCCCAGAGTTCAGGCCCCACGACTGACCAAAAAAAAATTTTTTTTTCCCCAGAACTTTCTACACTAGTATGCATTGTTTATAAAGTAAGTAAAAGGAGCTGGGTGCTGATGGCTCATACCTGTAATCCTCGCTACTCAGGAGGTTGAGATCTGAGGATTGCAGTTCAAAGCCAGCCCTGCCAGGAAAGTCCATGAGACTCTTTTTCTCCAATTTAGCACCAAAAAAAAAAGAGTGGAGTTGTGGTTCAAGTGGTAGACACTAGTCTTGAGCAAAAAAGCTCAGGGACAAGCCCCATGACCAGCAAAAAATTTTTAAAAATTGCCGGGTGCCGATGGCTCTCGCCTGTAATTCTAGCTATTCAGGAGGCTGAGATCTGAGGGTCGAGGTTCAAAGCCAGCCAGTCTGTGAAATTCTTATCTCCAATAAACACTCAGAAAACCGGAAGTGGCACTGTAGCTCAAGTGGTAGAGCGCTAGCCTTGAGCTGAAGAGCTGAGGGACAGCGCCCAGGCCCAGAGTTCAAGCCCCACGACTGACGAAAAAAATAAATAAAAATTAAAAAGTAAGGGATTAGAGGTTTAGCTCAATGGTAGAATGTATACACCACAAGTATGAGGTTCTGGGTTCAATCCCCACCCCTAGTAATATAGCAACAATAATAAAATAACATCTTCCTTAAAACAATGGAAAAAGCCCAAATCTAACAATACTCTGTAAGCCTTACTTCATACATCAAATTTGGAAAGTCAGTCACTTCAGAGTGGACCATTTTCCTTTGCTTGTAACCAATCAGAGAAAAGTCAGAGCCTTTGCCACTTTATACCCTAAGGACGGCTCCCTTTGCTGGTCCCAGGGCTTGAACTCAGGTTCTAGATACTGTCCCTGAGCTTCTTTTTTTGTTGTTGTTGTTGATCATGGGGTTTGAACTCTAGCTTGGGCACTGTCCCTGTGCTCTTCAGCTCAAGGTGAGTCCTTTACTGTTTAAGCCACAGTGCCACTTCCGGCTTTCTATTGGTTTATTGGAGATAAGAATCTCACGGAGTTTCCTGTCTTGGCTGGCTTTGAACCACAATCCTCAGATCTCAGCCTCCTGAGAAGCTAGAATTACAGGTGTGAGCCACTGATGCCTGGCTCCCTGAACTTCTTTTACCCAAGGCTAGTGCTCTACCATTTGAGCCACAGTGCCACTTCCATTTTTTCCTGAGTAGTTTATTGGAGATAAGAGCCTCACAGACTTTCCAGCCCAGGCTAGCTTTGAACCATGATCCTCAGATCTCAGTCTCTGAGTAGCTAGGATTACAGGATGAGCCACTGGTGGGTGTCCAACTCCCTAAATCCTTTCTTGACTTCCAAATACTAATCAAAATGCAAGAGAAGTCCCAAGGATTAATATGATTTGTCTCCAGGCAGTGGCATATTATTCTTAGGCTTGAGTCAAGAAGCACTTTGCTAGAGTTATTGGCCTGCTCTACACAACTGAGCTCTTTGATCAAGGTCTTGATAAATTGGTAGCAACTCAGCCGGGCGCTGGTGGCTCACGCCTGTAATCCTAGCTACTCAGGAGGCTGAGATCTGAGGATCGTGGTTCAAAGCCAGCCCGGGCAGGAAAGACCGTGAG